GTTTTGGGTTTGATTTGCTCTTTTCTTACTAGAAGCTTGAGGTTCAACATTAAGTTGTTTATCTGAGGGGCTGGTGAGATGGCTCAGTGGTCTAAAGCACCTACTTAGAACAAGCTAAGCTAAGCAAAAGCACAGGGACAGCGGTTCAATCCCCAGCACCACATGCCAGCCAGCCCCGCCCTCTGGTGGGCTGAACTGGCCACACACACACACACAATAAATAAATAAATAATTAATTAATTAATTAATTTAAAAAAAAGTTGTTTATCTGAGTTCACTCTTTTTCTGACATAGGAATTTAGCCATATAAATTTCTCTCAAGCCTGGGAGATGGCTCAGTAAATAAGTGCTTGCCTGGTAAGCGCAAGGGCCTGAGTTCAATCCCCAGTTCCACCAAAATAAATAAATAAATAAAAAATAACTTTCTCTCATAGGACTACTCTCATTGTGTCTTATAAGGTCTAGTATGTTATACTGGCATTCTTACTTAATTATAGAAACTGTCTAAACTGTCTAGAGCTGGCCAGATAGCTCAGCAGATTAAAGCACCTGCTTAGGCAGAGCACACGGCCAGGGTTCGATCCCCAGCTTGCCATGCCAGCCCCACCCTGGGGCATGCTGAGATGGCGATTGAGACTGGGTGTGGTAGTGTGCGTCTGTAATCCCAGTGCTTGGGAGGCTGGAAACAGGAGAATCAGTATGAGTCCCATCTGTGTAGTGAGACCCTGTACTAAATACATAAAGAAATTTAAAAAGAAATCATAGGCTGTCTAGAAATTTTCTTTTTTAATTTCATCTCTGATCCATTGCTAGCACAGGAGGATGTTGTTTAATTACCATGGGTTTATGAAGTTCCTGTAGTTTCTTTTGCCACTGATTTCCAATTTCATTGCATTATGGTTTAATAATATGCATGGGATAACTTCACGTTCTTTGCATTTACTTCAGCATGTTCTGTGAGCTAATGTGTGCTTTATTTTGGAGAACATCCTATATGCAGCTGAGAAGAATGTGCATTTCAGTGTTTTTTGTCTAGTTGATCTATTTGTGAGAATGGTGATTTGAGGTCCCCCATTACAGTGGTATTAGTGCTTATTTGACTTTTCATGTCCATTGATGTTTGTGTTATATAATTGGGTGCACTAATATCTGGTACATGTATCTGTGACTGTTATCTCTTCTTCTTGGATTGTTTCCTGAACAAAGATGTAGTGACCTTCTTTGTCTCTCTTAATCAGGCTTAAAATATACTACTTTGTTTGGAAATAGAAACAGATAGCTCAGCAGATTAAAGCACCTTTACTGTTTTCTAGGTTCCTGTCAAATGGAGTATAGTCTTGTATCCTTTGACTTTCAGTCCATAAATTTCTTTCTGAATTAAATATGTATGCAAGAAATGTGTATTTCTTGTATGAGCATATTTTTGAATCTTTTTTTTTTTCTTTTTTTTGCAGAACTGGGATTGAACTCAGACCCTTGCACTTGCCAGGGAGGCGCTTACTCTACTGAGCTACCTCCCCGGCATATTGTTGGATCTTGCTTCTTGATGCATTCTTCAGTCTGTTTCTTTATATTGGTACATTGAGACCATTAGATGGTTATAACTAATATGCACTGGCTTATCCTTGTCATGTTATTTTCTATTTTCCTGTTTTGGTTCCCTTTCTTTCCCCTGTTTAATCGCTTGCCTTCTCTGGTGGATTCATTCTTTTAGGATCACAGAGTTGTAGTCCTTCTTATTGCCTTCTAGAATGTCCTTCAGGGCCCGGGACATAGCTCAGTAGAATAAGTGCTTGCCTGGCAAGCGCAAGGGCCTGAGTTCAATCCCCAGTTCCCGGGGGGAGCAGGGGAGGAATCTTTCTTTTCATGATCACTAACTATAATCTGGTCTTTTTTAGCTGATTTCTGTCCTCACATCAGCTCATTCTGCTGAGTATTCTTTCAACAGAATTGTCAACTTCCTAGATATCTATTTGAATCTGTTGCTGGATTGTATTTCTTTCCTGTGTTGGGCATTCATGGTTTCCATCATTTCCCCTAAGCTCCTCTTTTGTTGCTGTTTAATGTATTTGGTACAGGATCTCACTATTCATAGTGATCCTCCTGTTTTCAGCTTCCCCAGCATTGGGATTACAGGTGTGCGCCACCAGGCCCAGTCTCATTGGCCAGCTCAGCATGCCCAAGGGTGGGGCTGCTTGGGATTGAACCCCAGTCCCTGTGCTTGCCTAAACAGGTGCTTGTGGTTGGGGTTTGTTGTTACTGTTATTGGCTTTTTTGTTTTGTTTGTTTGTTTTGTGGTACCAGGGATCAAACTCAGGACCTTGCACTTGTCAGGCAGGCACTTATGCCACTGAGCTATCTCCCCAGCCTTGTTTTGTTTTTTTAAATCTGTTTCTGCTCTACAATCTGTAACCATGTCTTTCAACCATCTCTGTACTTATCTGAGAGATTATTTCTGATTTGATTTTTTCTTAGCCTCATTCATTTAATTTATTACTTCTACTGTTACCATTTCAGAGAGTCCAGGTAGGTGGCATTCAGATTGTTCCAACTCACTGCTCCCTGGTTTGCCTGGAGAGCTGGAAGTCTGGGTTGCAGCTTGTTTAAGTGTCATTTTCTATCTTTCATTTTACTTCCTGATTTGATGCTTATAAATTGCCTATGGTGGGCTGGGGAGATGGCTCAGTAGAATAAGTGCTTGCCTGGCAAGCACAAGGGCCTGAGTTTAATCCCCGGTTCTGAAAAAAATAAAAATAAAAATAAAAATGAAAAAAGAAATTTCCTATGGTGAGTATCTTTATTGCTAGTATTTAGAACCCTTTGTAAATGACTACTTCAAGGGCCAGGGAGATAGCTCAGTAGAATAAGCACTTGCCTGTCAAGCACAAGGTACTGAATTCAATTTCCAGTACCGTAAAACAAAAAACAAACAAAAAAAAAAAAGTAAATGACTACTTCTCAGAGGTTTCTTCCAGGTGTAGCTGGCTTTTGGGTTTTGAATGTGTTACAAGTTCCTCCCCTTCAAGGTACTATGGCTGATCCTCGTGTGAGGCAGAGCAAGGTCAAGACCAGTGTGGTGAGGCGATTAGTCAAAGAAAAGGTGATGTATGAAAAACAAGCAAAACAAAAAGAAGAAAAGATTGAAAAAATGAAAGCTGAAAATGGTGCAAATCATGCCATTGAAAAGCCGGCAGAGATCCTGCAAGAGTCCTGGATGATGGTCCCAGATTGCTGGTGCAGGTCAGAGGCAGCATGTACTGACCTTCTGCAGATATTGGAAAGTGGAAAAGACTTGAAGAAGCTGAGGAATATAAAGAAGTGTGTATAGTTTTGGATTCAGTGGAGTGAAAATTCTGAAATTTTTTTGTACAGAGTACTTTTGCATTAAATCCTGGAGTCCACTCTACAGTCATGATTTTTACCACTGCTGAGTGTTTGAGTAGTATGAGAATGGGATTCTTTTTATGCAGTTGCAAATATTTTTCTTTGCATAATTTAATGTGTCAAATGAGTTCATCTTAGAAACAAAATTCTACCTTTTCAATTTATTGGGGATGGAAGTCGCTGCCTACTTGGCCCAGCCCCTGTTCATATATGAACAGAATAAAGTTCAAAAACCATATGATCATCTCAATAGCTAAAGGGAAAATATATGCCAAAATTCCAATACATCTTCATTTCATGTAATAAAAAACAAAACCAAACAAAGTAAAGAAGAAATTCCCTGGGGCTGGTGAGATGGCTCAGTGGTCTAAAGCACCTACTTAGAACAAACTTAGCAAAGCACAGGGACCGCGGTTCTATCTCCCAGCACCACATGCCAGCCAGCCCCGCCCCCTGGTGGGCTGAGCTGGCCACACACACACACAAATAAATAAAATTAAAAGAAAAGAAATTTTCTCAACCTAATAAAGACAGCTAAGGAAAACCTAGCACCATACTTGATGGTGAAGGACTGTTTCACCTACCACAATGGTGGCCTCGTCCCCTGTATCCAGCATTCTACTTGTACGGCTACATCTCCAGCCCTTTTCCTTTTGTATTTCGAGGCAGGGTCTAAGCTGCCTGGGCTTGGCTCAGAGCTTCAGCACTGTATTAAAGATTCTGGCCAATGAGTCTAGATACCCAATTAGAACCAAATAAAATCATTTGTGGATGACATGGTGGGCATATGAAAGCGCCTAAGGAATCCATGTAGAACTGTTACAACTAATACACAGGGTCAGCCAGATCAATAGGTAAGAGCTGGGTACAGTGGTACATGTCTGTAATCCCAGCACCGGGGAAGCTGAGGCAGGGGTATCACCACAAGTTTGAGGCCAGCAGGGGCTACATAGCAAGATCCTGTCTAAAAAAAAAAAAAAAAAAATCACCATACAAAACCCAATTATTGTTTATCAATAAAACTTTGGAAAAAAAAACCAATTATTATTATATACTATTATTATATACTATATACTTATAATGAATGATTTAAAAATGAAATGAAAAAACTATCCCATCTATAATAGCACACAGAAAAATAATTTAAAAAGCACTTACAAAGCTCTTTCTGCCATCCCGGAGCCTGTGAAAGCTTCCTACCAGCAAGATTTCTAAAAAACTAGAAAGAAGTCTAGAAGATTGTGTTCAGAGACATATTTGATGGCTACAGATGGCGTCTCTGCCTCTCAGAAACTGACAGTGGGTGCGCCCAAGGTACAACTGAATTGTACGTGGGCAGGAGATGCGCTTCTATGTACAAAGCAAAGAACAAGGGGGCGGGGGTACACCTTTAGTAAAGCACTTGTCCAGCGCATGTGATGTCCAGGGCTAGATCCCCAACACTGAAAAGGAAAAAAAAAGAAAAAAGAAAAAAAAAGAAAAGAAAAAAGCAGAGTGGGGAGAGTACAAAGCAATAGTAATCAAGACAATATGCGTGGTCCTGGCGTATAGACAGATCAGCTGATAAAGAACAGAGTTGAACCTTCCGCCACAGCAGCCATGGAAGAACAGCAGCCATGGCCCTCCGCTATCCCATGGCCGTGGGCCTCACCAGGGGTCACAAGGTGACTAAGACTGTGAGCAAACCGAGGCACAGCCGCTGCCACGGACGTCTCAGCAAACACACCAAGTTCATGCGGGCCATAATCCAGGAGGTGTGCGGCTTTGCCCGCTACCAGTGGCACACCATGGAGCTGCTCAAGGTCTCCAAGGACAATCGCGCCCTCAAGTTTATCAAGAAAAGCATGGGATGGGTGGGGATGCACATCCATGGCAAGAGGAAACGTGAGGAGCTGAGCAACGTGCTGGCCGCCATGAGGAAGGCAGCTGCCAAAAAGGGCTGAGCCCCTCTGGAATAAAGCTTTGCAGGAAAAAAAAAAAAAAATGAAGTTGAAGCTTCTGAATTTAAACCCCGTGTCTATGATCAGCTGATACCCAACAAGGATGCCATTGGGGGCTTTGCATGAACACTAAATTCCTATGTTGAACTCTGAACCCTCAGGGCCGGCCAAATAGATTAAAGCACCTGCTTGGCAGAGGCGGGGGAGTTCGATCCCAGGCCTGCTGTGCTGGCCCCGCCCCCGGGCACGCTGAGACCAAGATTGAGACTGGGTGTAGTGGCCTGTGCCTGTAATCCCAGCTCTTGGGAGGCTGTAAACAGGAGAATCACTACGAGTCCAATCTACGCAGTGAGACCCTGTATACTCTGTAGACCCTGTTCTAAATACAAGAAAAAAAAAGAAAGAAAGAAAGAAATCTGAACTCTCAGCTCCTCACAATGTGACTGTATTTGGTGGCAGTCATAATTTGACTGTCAAAGAGAATTTGACAGTCAAATTCTCTTCTTTACTTAGAAGAAGAGAACATCAGCACTCCAGGGAACCCTGTGAATCTCCTGGGAGAAGACAACTGCCTTGAGCTGTAGAAGCCAAGAAGAGAGGTCTCAGAAGAAGCCAGCCCTCCTCATAGCCACCCTCAGAGTTCAGGCTCCAAAACTGTGAGAAAACACACTTCTGTTGCTTGAGCCCCAGTATTTTGCTATGGCAGATCTAGCAGACTAGAAATTTTGGTACCAAGAGTGTTCGAGAGGACAGAATATTCATGAATTTTT